CCCAAAGACTCGCAACGGCTCTGCCATGATTCATGATGGGTGTACTTCAACCCCAATGACAATTCTAATTCAGTGCCAACCATATAGGGTGCATCTCTCTCACCCTCCAACACAGTCATTGGTGAACATTTAATCTACATAGAAAAGTGAAAGAGAAATAAAAAAATTCTCATAGCAAGAACGATGCATGCAAGAATTTAATGAATAATAAATAAATTTACCTCATCTTCATCCAACTCATGCAAACGATAAAAAGGTTTCTTTCGGAATATCCACCGTGTGCCTCTCGGTAGGCCATCCCCGATCTTTGTCAATCCTCCAGCCTCATGTACAAAATCGGGCATCATCTCACAAGCCCATATCTGTTTAGGAAAAAACAATTCGTAAATGGTCTTTTATAACATATTGAAAACGGAAAATAAACAAAAAATCTTTTAAATGTAAAGGTACCTGCAGAGGCATCAAGTATGCATGGATGTTGAACTGAACCTCACCACCCTCATCAGGCTCACGGATAGCCACATCAAGATAATGGTACAGACGTTGGAATGAATACGCACCCCATGGAAATGTCCCAAACATCTCCAAATCCTCCACTAAGGTCCACAACCAAATTGGTACAGCGGCTCTAGAATCGGGTGAAAAGATGAAGAAATGAGCAACCAATATCAGTGCAACCTTTAATGCATCGTCGGGCTCTTCCTTAAATTTACCGTTGTTGAAATCATTCAACAAATCACCACCGACTAAACTACGTCCGTCATAGTGGCGGCGATATACCCCATCTCTCGGTGGTGGTATACTCTCATTCTCGTCCGGGATGAACGACGAGACCCCAAACTTCAACCTGGTAATTTGGCAAAACTCAATTTTACCAAATTTATAATTTTTACCGCCTATTCTAAACCAACGCTCGTTCTCTAGAGCGGAATCTACAACTACCTCCTTACCAAGTAAAGCGATCAATAGCTTTCCACTATAAAACGCTCTTGCATCGAAACTTAAAAACTGACCAAAACATGACTGTTTAAACTCACTAAGTCGGTCACAACCCTCTAGCTGCGTCGTTATGTGGCTAATTAATTTTGTCTTCGTATGATAATTTACTTTACCATGCCACTTGCAACCTCCCTGCCATCTCCAAGTCCAACTATCACCCTAATCATGAAGCAATTAATTAATTTTTTTTTAACAGTTCGTACTTACAAAAACAAAATATTTAGACATAAAAAAATATAATATAAATACAAATCTGTCAAACAGGTTTCTTGCTCAAGAAACCGGTTTCTATATTGTTTTATGTTCAACAAACAATTTCTTCAACATTGAACAATAAAACAGAATCTTTTTCACATAAACTACAAAACTCTTTCTTGAGCAAAAAATCTAAAATTTTGAAACATAAACTGACCAGTTTCTTGAACAAAAAAAGACTTTTTTTCCACATAAACTACAAAAATATTTGTTCACCAAAAAACATCATACCTCATCAGTAGATGTCATCTCTGTCGTGTTCCAACAAAAGCACCACAAAGAGCTAAGGGGTTTGTTTGAAGATCTGTTTTCAAATTAAGAAAATGAACAAATGCCTCAATTTACATTTTTACAAAAAATGAGAATTGAAGAAAAATATCCTAAAAAAGGTACATTTAAGAATACACACTACACTTCAAAAAGTCTCATTTACATCCATTCCAAAAACAAAAAACTCTCTAATCTTTTTTCTTTGGCTCGAACCACCCAACTTTCAGAGACATAAAAACTCATTATACTAGGTTCAAAAGACCCCAATCACTTATGATTTAAACACCTAAGGACAAAGCTTAAGTCTCCCTTTTCTTTCGCATTTTCTCATGAATTCAAGGCCAACTAACAAGGCCCTAAGTACTGAATTTTAAATTCAAATAAACACATAGACTCAGCAATGGAAACACATAACAGGTACAACAACACAACTCAAGCAATTTAGGGTTCAAACACAACATAACATGTTCTTCATTTCCCTCTTTCTCATTCTGTAACTAATTTTCTCAACTTTTCCAAATAATTCAAGGCCAATATAGTTGAGCAATAATTCAAGGCCAAGATAGTTGAGAAATTGGGGCTCCTCCAAAAGAGTAAGAAAAAGGAAAAAAAACAAAAACAAAAACAACAATTACCGAATCGAAGCACATAGACACACATACACCTTCGTGAATAGTGTGAGTAGTCACACGAGTCGTGTGGCTCATCAAAATGATCAATTTTGATGGAAAGCAGGTCCACACGAGTCGTGTGAGTAGTCACACGAGTCGTGTGACTTATCAAAAAGTTTGATATTGCTTTCGGGTTTTTCACACGAGTCGTGTGACATTTTTGACACGAGTCGTGTGACCAGTCGTGTGACCCAGTCGTGTGACTAAAACAAAATTATTTTTTATGCTTTAATTCATGTGATGAATGTTTTAGCATATTAAGGGATGATCATGAGCCTTTTATTCAATATAATTGAATGTTTGCATTTTATTCAATATAATTGAATGATTGTAATTTATCGAGACCTGCGAGTCTCTTATGTTATGATTTGTAAAATTTTAAATTATTGCATCGTTACAAGATTAGATCAGGTTGAAGACCGTTCAATGTGAAAGCCCCACGCTTGTGTGGGTAATTTTACAAGTTGTAAATTTTGAAGGCCTGTGCTTGTACGGGTAGATAAAATGAGATGTAATAGAAGTAGTTCTATTCATTTATTTTATCACGTATAGGCATAAACCCATTTTGGCTCGAATGGGTTGTATAGGCAAGGTCATGATCATCCCACCGTATGCATGCATTAGATGTATGTTAGGTTTATTTATGCTTGTGATTCATGCGATGAATAATGCGATAAATAAACACACGTAAAGATGGTAATCGATGAGATCTAAGGAACCCAAAAAGAATTCATTTGATTAATTCTATATCAAATCAATAATGGATAAAAATAAGTTGGGACTTATTAATCCAGACCTTCCATCAAAAGTAGACGACATGAGATGCTACGATGTTTTATTACCGACCATGAGTCGTGGGGTGATTCTATGTCGAAAGTTGTGATCCCTACTAAGTATAAAGATACTCGTGAGACGGATTCCTCTTTGTGTTGACCATGAGTCGTGGAACACTCTGATGGGCCGTTATCATGAATGTTTGATGGGTTTGATTTGACACCTAGTAATATATACGGTCATAAAATTGAGGTATATAAGGAAAAGTGAGGCAAAATATCTTGAAGGTTGTATAGAGATACAATTGTCAAAAGTTGACTACCGATAAAAATGTTTCATGCGTACTCATAAAATTGGGATATGGAATATTTTTATTGGACTTCAAGCCCACTACGAAAATGAGATTTTCATAATTAATGTGGGGTTTAATTAAAATAGTGGGAGACATTTAATATTAAAGACCTAATATTAAATGAATATGAATTCCATAGTCTAATTATTTTCTGCTTCGTTTGTTATTTTTGTAGATCACTCTACTAAAATGGCTAAAAATACAATTGCAAGTATCCTTGAACAAAACAAATTAACTGGACCCAATTTCGTTGATTGGCTGAGAAACCTAAGAATTGTTGTACAGTCTGAAAAAAGGGACTATGTGCTTGACAAAGCCCCTCTTCCTCCACCCGAGGATAAGACTTCTGATGAGTATGGAGAATATTTACGTCATACTGATGACAATCTCCAGGCTCGTTGCTACATGTTAGCATCTATGTCAAATGAGCCGCAGAGACAAAATGAATTATTTGATAATGCAATTGATATCCTAAATCACCTACAAGAGTTGTATGGTGAAAGGACAAGGTAAATAAGATATCAGATATCTAAAGAGCTTTTCAGAAGTCGTATGACTGAGGGCTCTTCAGTCCAAGACCATGGGCTGAAGATGATAGCTCTTATTGAAAGGCTAACATCTCTTGGAGTTGTTATGGATAACGAACTCTATGTGGATCTTTTGCTGCAATCTCTGCCTCCATCATTTGATACTTTTGTTGTTAACTTTAACATGCACAATATGGAACCTTCTCTTCCTGAATTGGTGAACATGTTAAAGACGGCTGAATCCACGATCAAAAAGGATAAGTCGGTGCTTCTTGTTGGATCCTCTTCTAAATCTAAAAGGAAGGGGAAGGGAAAAGTTCCTAATAAACCCAATAAGAAGGCAAAGAACAACAAAGGAAAGAACAAAGAGAAGGTTAATTCTCAGTCTAGTCATGAATGTTATCATTGTGGTAAAACTGGGCATTGGAAGAGGAATTGCAAGGAGTATCTTGCAAGCCTGAAAAGTTCAGGTATTTATTTTGTTGAAGTTAACTTATCAGTTAATGATTCTTCTTGGGTATTGGATACCGGCTGTGGCTCACATATTTGCAATGATTTGCAGATGATGGCAAGAAGTAACAAGCTAGAAGATGATGAAACAATCCTAAGGATGGGCAATGGGGAAAGAGTTGCTGCCAAAGCAATTGGGACTGTTTATCTAGCTTTAAATAATGGTGTATAAATTTGTCTTACAAATTGTTTGTATGTTCCGGATGTTATAAGAAACATAATTTCTATTCCAGTAATGGATAAAGAAGGTTTTAAGTTCGTAATTCAGAATGGAAGATGTTCCATTTTCAAAGATACAACTTTTATATATTCCGGAAATTTGACAAATGGTTTGTATACCATTACACCACAAAGTCCCATCTTAACCATTCAACAAAATAAAAGAAAATTAGATAATCATAGTTCATTCACAATTTGGCATGCTAGATTAGGTCATATATCTGAAAAGAGGATTCACAAAATAGGACCAAAACTCGACCTTAGGGGAGAGGAAAGGCTGCCTACATGTGAATCATGTCTTAAAGGTAAAATGACCAAATCACCATTTGTTGGACAAGTGGAGCGAGCTAAAGGTTTATTGGATTTGATCCATACAGATGTTTGTGGACCAC